GTGTGTTCAAGGGGATCTGAGAATGGTTTAGATTCACAATTTTGTCCGCTGGACAACCCCTATTTTTTTAGGGCGGTACGAAGTTCGCTGGGTCAGCTAGTATATATATATATATATATACTTCAATATTTAATATACTTGCCCTCCGTGTGAGGTAGCCGTGGGACGGACGCCCTGTCTATGTGTATATATATATATATATATAGTCATGTGACGCTCGTGACGGATTTTCGTTTCATCTTTTCCATAGTATTTTCCGTTTACACCCCGTCCGAAGAGGAGATTCACTTTTAACAAATTGTGTCCATTATATTTCGATAATCTAACTAACGGATTAAAGTGAATTTCGTTTACTTATTTATTTATTTTGTACACACACAAAACAGTATTTGATAATTAAAATGAAATATTTGTTTTTGTTTTTTGTAGAATACGCTAGTAAAAATTCACTGGTAATTCAGAAGTCACGATGTAGTGTTTTAAAATATATGTGTTTATCTATAGATCTGTATATAAATGTCGGTAAAAGATAAAGGTAGCATCATTCACTGGTGGATTTAACGATTGGGATTGAATTTAGGTCACGCCCTATTCAAATGGATGTCTTTACAAATATTCTTCACAAATTGGTTCACGTTATTTATAAGAGTTATCGAATAACAGAAATCGGTTTGAGATAACATGTATTTTAACTTCCTATTGCAGGAATTATAATGATGATTTTTGTATTTAATTTATTTTGTATATTATGTTACTTATTATAAACATGATTTTGTCATAGGGAGTTTTTAGATAATAATAACAATAAATAATTAATATCTATAAATTATTTAACACTCACACCAATTAGGCTAGCCCCAAAATAAGCATTGTAACGCTTGTGTTATGGGATACTAGGGTAACGGATGGAATACATATACAGTACATATATAAGTATCTTTATATATATAACTAGCTGACCCAGAGAACTTCGTACCGCCCTAAAAAAATAGGGGTTGTCCAGTGGACAAAATTGTGAATCTAAACCATTCTCAGATCCCCTTGAACACACACAAAAAATTTCATCAAAATCGGTCCAGTCGTTTAAGAGAAGTTCAGTGACATACACACTCACAGAAGAATCTTTATATATATAATTCTTTATAATTCTTAATCCCCTATTTTTTTAGGGCGGTACGAAGTTCGCTGGGTCAGCTAGTATTTATATATAAATACATATTAAACATCCATGACTGGAGTACAAATGCTCGTATTCATCACACAAACATCTGCCCCCACCGGGATTCGAACCGGGACCTCTCGAGTCGGTGACGCCATGAAACGCGCCGTACAAACCACCCGTCCACGGAGATCGCCTTCGTTACATTTATGGGTATCCATTAAAGTTTGTTTGAGTTTTAGAAGAGATGTTCATATATTATTATTATTCAGAAAACTTATTTCTTATCATACAAATAAAATTCTCTTGTCACACAGTGTTAGTAACAAAACTCCTCCGTAACGCCTTAATAGGAATCGGTCCTATGAAATGTTGTGTGTATATTCAGTAGGTCCAAGAATAGGATGTTAACTATTTTTCATATCTCTAAGTAATAAGGGTGGTCCACCCCAAGTTTATTTGGCCAAAACTTTTTTTATGATTTGGCATTAAGAATAAAATTACACTCCTACTACAACCCTAACTTCATCCTTATATATACAACCCCTTATTTTATGGAGACACGAAGTTCGCTGAGCGAGCTATATCTATTTTAATATAATAAATTAAATAATAATAGAAAAACATAAAGAAAATACACACTACGATGCCTGTTACACAATCACACTAATATTATAAAGGCGAAAGTTTGTGAGTGTGTATGTTTGTTACTTCTTCACGCCTAAACGGCTGGAGCGAATTTAATAAAATTTGGTATGGAGTTAGCTGACACCCTGGATTAACACATAGGCTACGTTTTTCTGCGGGAAAATATCCGTAATAAACCGCGGGTTCAATATAGGTATTGTTCAAAGTGTTCTGAGCAACCCCGAATCAGAAGCCGCATTGTACTTGTGTAGTTTATTGGAATGCTGCCAGTTAATTACACAAGTATGAAATTTAATGTAATAATTTTACAGTTCTTAATTAATTACTTCAGTACTCGTTAGTTTGTTTCGATGGAGCTGTCATGTCATCGGACAAAAGCTCCTAAACAATAAAAACTAAAAAACACCGCGGGGCACAGCTACTAATTTATTAAAATAAGCTGACAATAGAACCTCAATGGTGTTCAATCTTACAAAGTTTTAATTTCAGCCAATAGTCGACTACTGTATGTCGATTCTGTTATATAAAATCTAATTAACGATCGCATTTATTCGATTGTTAAATATGACTTGTGTCCATAGAATTATGATTAAATTTCACAGTGTCTGTTTATTGAAGCAGCCAGTACTAGAGACTTGACAATTGTCAAAAATCCGAAAAAATAGATCGTAAATGAAATTGTATCTTACAGAATTGACTTGATTGAATTTATTGTGCATCTATTGGCTGTAATTAAAATTTTGTAAGATTGAACACCATTGACGTCAACTTAGACAATAGAACCTCAATGGTGTTCAATCTATTCATATATTCTATTCATATATTCTTTCATAAATTATTCTGTAAAAAGCTTAGTAGTGTGTATTTACAGGTGTTGGTAAATACAAGTGATATTAATAAAACTTGTGTCATAAATAACCGAAACAAATGACGGTAAGACTTTGTTTCTTAATAGAATTATTTCCTGAAGTATAATAATAAACATTTATTGTGTATGGAATATGAATGAGCAATTGAGTATGAAAACCCTAAGAAACTCATCTTCAAGTATGAAATTTGAAATAGAGACTTAGGTACTCAGTATATAGCTGCTACTGAACGCTATAAATTAACGCGAAAAACATAACGTTTCATTATAATAAGCACATCTATGTTAATTAGACTTTGAACCCCTTATTAATTAACGAAGAATAAGCTTAGATTAGTTAGAATTACAAGTCACATTTGAGTGATATGATCAAAACATCAGACATTATCAAAACAAACAAAACATCATCGGACCGCATCAGAAATTATGTAATCCGACAGAGAACCAAAGTCACCGACATAGCCCACCGAATTAGCAAACTGAAGTGGCAGTGGGCTGGTCACATTAGCCGCAGAACTGATGGACGTTGGAGCCGGAAAGTTCTTGAGTGGAGACCGCGACTCGGTAAACGTAGTGTAGGACGCCCTGAGACAAGATGGGATGATGATATTCGTAGGCTGGCTGGAGTGGGATGAGAGTAGCATAAAATCGGAAGCAGTGGCGTGCATTAGGGGAGACCTATGTCCAGCAGTGGACGAACATGGGTTGATGATGATGGTGGTGGTGGTGGAACAAACCATGGAGCAAAAAGGTTAAACTAATAATATAATAAGGGGATTAAGGTATTCAAAAAGGTAAACAAAACAACGACGCTTTAAAGAGAATGATGAGAAAAGACAGGGTTCAAACTTCTCCGGAGAGTGGTAGTCATACTCCGGCTGACTCCAAATTTTTATGACATGTAGTGCACTTAATTGCAAATCGTTTGACAAAAAACTTGAATTAATTTAATATCTTTTTTTTAAGAATTTAACTGCTAGATGTTTAAATCCAAAGAAATGTTTAACCAGAAACAAAACTTCTGATAAAACTTTTCTTTGGATTTAAACATCTAGCAGTTAAATGCTTAAAACAAAAACAAAACTACAATTGCTATTTCTTCTTTCAAATATTTAATACTTGAAAAAGTATTCATTTTACATTGTGGGTTGCCTACAATGCGAAGAGATGGCGCTGCCTTGCAGCGTAAGTCTAGGGAATTTCGACGCGGCCATCAGGGCCGTGGTAGCATAATTGGTCAGCGCATTCGCCCGGATTGCGAAGAGTGCGGGTTCGAGTCCTGTCCGCTGCCTGGTCAACGTGGATTTTTTTTCTGGTAAAACTTTAATTCAATATCTGTTTTTGAAATAATTATTATAATAAATAAATATGTAAACATTGATTGACAAGTTTATTTATCTATGATCTATCTTGACAAAGCATCAAATATTCATATTGTATTCAATAGTAACTTAGGCACTAATAAATATTCTGTTCATCTTTCATATCATTATTAAATATTTTGTGTGTATTTTATTTCGAAAACAATCAGTCATTAATCGGTGTAATAGTGTAATAAGTTCATCACGATTTCACCAATATCATGCATAACTATTGTTTAACTAACATGGAAATATCATTGGCATAATTGGACTGATTGGCATGTGCCATAGTGACTGATTTGACGTAATAAGCTGTCACACAAAAATAAGACGTTACTTATGATAGAGTGGCTAGCATCCTTACAAAAAAGATAAAATTTTAAACAGGATGTAAAATTGGTCGGAGATTAATAAAAAAATTAAAAGTATTCGTTTATATTATAATATAATACAAGCTTTCAACAACCGAGCGACACGAAACCGACTACCACTTTTAAACCATCTCTAAAAAACGTAGGTTAGTGTTTACATGGTAGGTATATACAATTTTTGTTAGTATCGCTACATTTCCACCTTAAATAAGGTAAACAAATAGATATGGATCTATGAATCCTATAAATCCTTTAGTGAAAACAATAATCCGAATTAAACGCACCGCCGCTTCCGACGATTTTCGGACACAAAGCAATTTGCAACGGAATAGAGACACGACACGGGTCCCCGTATCCGACACGGGCCATTACACAAATGAAAACGAAATTAAAACATCCCGTCCGCATCAATGTTTCACACTTTAAACCTTTTATGGAGGGAAATCACCGACGCCATGACAGTTATACTGCCGTGTCAATTTTTAATGGCTGCGACAGGTGGTGTCTCTCCGCTGCGTTTAGCGATGTTCGCTTTCCAATAACATTCACGTATCGATTTTAAAGATAGCAAAGATAATGATAAATGCACTCACCCTAAAGTCGTCATCGTCACAATGGTGTACCAGAAGGCGGCAGGAATGGATGTGAAGTTTGTGTCTTGCTCGTTCTTCTCAGCGTAGAACATGACGGTCGCGAATATGATGATGGCCATCGCCAATGAAAAGACAAGGAAGCCCAACTCGCTGGCGCATGACTTCAGCGTGTAACCTAGGATCCTCAGGCCCTGCGAGTGCCGGGAGAACTTGAAGATACGAAACACTCGGAACACACGCAATGTAACGAACGCCCCCGACACGTCGTCGTTGTCGGTGATGCCCAGACCGATGTAGTAAGGGAGGATGGCAACCACGTCGATGATCGACATCACCGAACGGACGAATTTGCAGCGGTCCGGCGCCGCGAACAACCGCAGCAGGTATTCGGCAGTGAATATCATAACACAAGCCGTGTCCAAGCAGAAGAATACTATTTTATATCGCTCGCCGCACGGCAGCGTACCTGCGCGCCCAGGCCGGTGGCCGCACGGCACCGTTTCCACAACGTTCGCCATCACAGAAACGGCAATGAAAAATCCAGTCACATAGTAAAATACTAAGGCAGCAGTCGAGGTGTGGGGGTTCTCGAATGCCCGCCACATCTTCTGCCGCAAATCCGTGAGCTGAGGCAGGCTCTGATCGCCCGCCTCGCTGAGCTTGTCGTCCATGAGACGTTCGGCATTCTCCCGTTTCCTATCCCTGTAATCTTCATAACAACAATCACCGATCACATCCGGCAATATGCCGAAGAAAGCCAACTCTTCGTCGTAACCAGTCAAGCACTCGTGTTTGGGATAATGCAATTTCCCAGTTCTATAATAATTGAGAATGTGCCTAAATATATCGGGGTCTCTGTCGAAGAAGTACTCGCGGCTGTCCTCGTCGTAGAAAAACTCCCTTTCGGTGGAGCCCAGCAAGGAGTCCGGGTACTTCTCGAGCGTGTTCCGCCATGTTTCGAACCGTCGTCCGGAAACGTTGATGAGGAGTTTCTCGTCCTCGGCTCTCCTGCGGTCTTTGGGGACGGGTGGGGGCGGGAGCGGGTGGGTGGCGATGGGCACCCATCCGATGGCAGCCGCGCGGGCGAACGGCAGCCAGGCGGCGACCGACGCCATAGCGTTGCGACGCGGGGCCGTCGGCGTCGCCGCAGCTACTGACTGCCCCCCGCGTGCGGTATTTCGGGCGCCCAGACGAGCAGTGTTGCCAGTGCGCGACCGAAATAGCCCAGTTATTGACGCGCTATAAATAAGTCGGGTACTGATACGGTAACACTAATAAAATTATGGGCTTTACGACGCGTTCTAAATCGACAGTTTGTAGTACTTGGTGGTGGGCATACATTTTTGTAGTTTTATTATCGCGTAGCACTGTTTATTGTTGAGCACTGAAATTTATAATTGCAATATTAAATTAATTTCAATATAATATTTGTTATACTTACGATTCGAGTGAAAATTTTAATACCTATTTAGTACCCTTAATATAATAATTTGTTACGCTTATATACTTTCTAATAATACTATTGAGAGATTTTTAATAACACTTTTCAAATAATTTATTTTCTTTGAAATAACATAAGTGCTTAGTTAAATAACCTGTCTTAAATCAACACGTCAAAAATTGAACGGACTTAATATTAGACGATTTACCCTATAATTTGGAACTTGTCATTGCTTCGAGCAACTCTCTCCCGGGAATGGAAGCGTCACGCATGCGCTGTCCGTGACGTCACCGCCTAATAAATTGATTTTCATCCGTCCATCTCGTTCTCGGGCCGAACATTTTCTAGCGCGCCATCTCTTCCGCACACCTTTGGGCTCTACTGACCTTTTGTATATTTTTCACTGCTCCAAAGAGTTTTTAAAAGCCTTTTGTCTTGAGGAAGTGAAAGGCATGAATGTAGCCTTAGGCCGCTTTTATTTTTTAAACAGACTTTTCGGTTGCCATCTATGTCTGTGTAAATAGTTGTTTTAGCTTAGCATCTTGGAGGCGCGAACTTTTTAGACTTACGTGTGGCATGTGGGCCTTTTGAATTCTGCATTATAATTTTTTTGCTCTCTCGACTTCGTTCAATTTATTATGTAGGGATTCTGGTGGCGTTCATTAATAAATCTGATTGATATTGGATGTGGGACTCGCAAATGAGATTGGGATTAACGTTACATCACACTAATTTAAGGTTTAATATTTAATGAGAGTCGTAATTAAATTTTTAATTATCAGCTTCGATTTAGTTAAAGTGGAACTTTTATTACATTGCCAGATTTTTTTGTTCATCTTTATTGGAGAATGTCACATAATATATTTATTTTTTTTAAATCTAAAGAAAATTTTGACTAGAAATAATTTACGCGATCCAGGCAGCAAAACGGGATTCGAACCCGCACCCTTCGCTATCCGGGTAAATACACTGACCATTATGCTACCGCGGCCTTGACGGCCGTGCCAAATTTCCTCTAGCATTTCTTAGGCTGCAAGGCAGCACCATCTCTTTGCATTGTAGGTAACCTGGTGCTGGGTGCCTGGTATGAAAAAACATGGATGAAATAAGTTTAGTCATTCTAAATTATGGCGTGACCAAAGGAGATTCATGATTTGATAAATCGAATTTTCGCAAAGTCCTACAGATCTTGCGTAAACACTAATATGGGTAGAGAAACAGATAATTAAATAGAGAAATATCATCGCCATTGTTGTCGATTCTGACGTGATTCTCTGAACCTTAACTTTAATTTGACAATAGTGTATCCTTGTCATTCTCTATACAGAATAAAAAGGGGAGACTGATGTTAAATTAAGATTTAAGTTTAGAGATTCATGCCAGAATCGACACCATTGTCTTATTATCCGCGTTTTCGCAAAAACCCTATGATTTTCGCGATGTATCAAATCATCCTACGACATATATATAGATTACTTGCTGACCCAGCGAACTTCGTACCGCCATAAAAATAGGGTCAGGTGGTAGAAGAAAAAAGGTAGAGAGAAAATTTAGGGTTGTATGTATATTTTAATACCACATTATTAAAAAAATAAATATTGTCCAAACAAAATTTTAGGGGTGTGTAACGTAGTGTTCTATCAATTTCCTGGGATAACATTCCTCCTAACCCATATGAGAACACTACGTTACAATACCCAATAGTTTGAATTTTGGCGCGAAGGCGCGTTGTAGGTTTCAGAACACTACGTTACAGGTGGACAACCATTATCACTTAAGGATATGAAAAATAGATAGTAGCCGATTCTCAGACCCATGGGATATGCATATAAAATTTCATAAAAATCGGTCAGGCCGTTTTGGAGGAGTATGGTAACTAACATTGTGACACGAGAATCTCTTATCTATTAGACAAGTCCGTCCGTCCGTCTGTCTGTGGTGCTGTTTCAGCGGCCAAACCGTAAGAGATAGATAAAGAGAATGTTTAAGTTATAAGTAAAGAATAGTCTGATAAGACTACAAACCGGATTTGAGTAACGTAGCACTTTCGGTTTTCGAGAAATCACGAATTTCAAACGAAACCACACAAAATCTCCGAAGTTCTCAATTAATTAAATACATTTTTTTTTAATCAGGTTTTGGTGAACATTTGGTTCACTGGTTTGCTAGTTTTATATATAAGATTATATAGTGATTGTACACTATTCGAGAGATTCTCTCAAAACCCATTTCGATATTCCGCAGAGATACCAGGGGCCTTGACAAGTTTATAATCCGGCGAACGCGAGCAGCGACGCTAAGATGCCAGATTAGAAGGGTTTGACTAAGATTTATTAAACCATCGTATAGCTGGGTATTACTACTAACCGACTATAATTCAACTTTACCGGTTGAAAACCTCAAACTGAAATGAAGGGAAACTGCAGCCTTGAAAAGTGTTATGCTTTCTATTCGTTTTAACGACGACGCAAAATTTCAAGCTTTATTTATTTAAATAAATAAAACTAGTTTTAATGGGTTAATGCACGAACTTTATTTATTTATTGACGTTTCGCAGCCTTTTTAGATCTGCATCGTCAGAATATTTTTTTTTTTAAGTAAAATCTTCTTTAACGGCATTGACAATTTTTTTGTATGGATAAATGTTAAACTAGCGTCAGGTTAAACATGTGGGCTGATCGCATCATGACACACAATAAAATTGGAAAGGTTGTTGACTTTCAATATATAGGACGAATCATAGTAATATTTTATTCTATCGTATTATAATAATAAATCTGTATCTAAGAAGTCCAGGTGGCAGCTTTATTGCGAAGAAAATGCATTTTTTTACAATAGATGTCACTAGGTGCGCTTAAATGAGTAATTCTGAGAGATAAACTTTTTAATGTAATATAAATAAATGTCATGTTTGTGTACGATAGCGCAATAAACAAATATTGTATTCTACCACATAAATGAAAGTACTTTTATACTGATAATTAAAGAAATTCGTGCAAAATTATTCCCTAACCATTCCAAAATATCAAAAATGCACAACGTTAATATTCAAGTTTTCACTTCTGCCGGCACTTCCGACTAAAGACTTTTATTTATTTATTTATTTGCTATCATAGCTTTAAAATAAACAATGATATTTTACTTAAGAATAATTTAATTTAAGTACTGTAGTAAATTAACAAGCTAATCGCTAGCTGTACTTTTAAAGTATATTGCTTAATTTTAACTGAAAAATCTCCTCTAGCTTCGGGGTCAGGTTCTGGCAAAATATGAAAAATGCTTGGGACCGTTCTGATTTTTTCTAAATTTGTTATTTTTTTAAGAAAACCTTGGAAAATATTCCTTATTTCAGAGCTTTCGTTCGTTGCCGCGCTGCGTTAACGGTTAGAGTTACGCAAAAGTCATGTATGACGGAATTGTTACTCTTTGGAAGTTCTAAAAAATCTGCGAAAGCTTAATGTCCATACTAATTTTACATCTATTATGTTCAATATAAATATATAATAAATATCATAGACCATATATATATATATATTTATATATATATATATATATATATATAATACGGTACCTATATATAATCTGTTTAATATTATTTCATTCATATTTTCTATCAAGAATCAAATACAGCTGTAAGTTTAAACTTGCGTAAGCGCAATCTGGCATATAGGTTTTTTTTAATTTTTCGCTATTAGGGATACATTTTTTGGAATACCATTCGGATCTGTACATATTGCATTTTATAATTGTTCTTACTGATTGTAATCTGTTTTGTGCTTAGCACACATGAATAAAATAAAATAAAAATGAGTTATCAGGTGTAGAGAGGGGGTCCCCCGACTCGCTTGATGTCGTTAGTCCACCTGCTGAGTCCTATGCCCAATAGGCCACTCCTAGGGATTTCCAAACACAACGGTCCTGCGCTTCTCGCATCTAGTGGGTCCCCCCGACTACCTTGATGTCGTAAATCCACCTGCTGAGTCCTATGCCCAATAGGCCACTTCTAGGGATTTCCAAACACAACGGTCCTGCGCTTCTCGCATCTAGTGTGTCCCCCGGACTAACTTGGTGTCTTAAATCCACCTGCTGAGTCCTATGCCCAATAAGCCACTTCTAGGGATTTCCAAACACAACGGTACTGCGCTACTCGCATCTAGTGCCCCCCCCCCCCTCGACTCGCTTGATGTCGTAAATCCATCTGGTGAGTTTTATGCCCAATAGGCCATTTCTAGCGATTTCCAAACACAACGGTACTGCGCTTCTCGCATCTAGTGGGTCCCCCCGATCCACTTGTTGTAGTTAGTCCAGCTGCTGAATTCTATGCCCAATACGCCACTTCTAGAGATTTCCATTTAAGAACTTTTCTATTGTTTTTGATCATTAATATTGACAAGATATTAATGTAATAATAATATCTGACTCAATTATATTTGTATACCTTTGAAAAAGGTGAAAATGAGGTGATACATCATATATCAAATTAATTGGATGTAACATACTAACCTTAATTTTACATAAAACTAATTTGATTCTGATTACTTTTGATATTCCAGTGTACCAGATATAAAGAACTAAGCAGATTAACAGTAATTTATATCCAATAAATAATAGCATACCAATACTTCGGCTCACTGGGAAATCTTGAAGATGCAATCCAATGTTGAAGGCCTTGGGAGTGCTACTAACGAAGCTGTTCTTGCTGGAGTGATTCCGGCAATACACCCTCCTCACGCAAAATATGCACCATACGAAGACGTTACTAACGGAGCTGTTTTGGCTGGAGTGACTCCGGCAACACACCCTTCTCACGCAAAACAGGCGCTATATGAGGGCGTTACTTACGGAGCAGTTCTAGTTGGTGTGACTCCGGCAACACACCCTCCTCACGAAAAACAGGCGCTAGGTGTAGGCACTGAGGGCGTTACTAACGGAGCTGTTCTGGTTGAAGTGACTAAGGCAACACACCCTCCTCACGCTTAACAGGCGCCAGGTGAAGGCCCTGGGGACGTTACTATCGGAGCTGTTCTGGTTGGAGGGACTCCGGCAACACAACCTCCTCACGCAAAATAGGCGCCGTATGTGAAGGCCCTGGGGGCGTTACTAACGGAGCTGTTCTGGTTGGAGTGACTCCGGCTACACACCCTCCTCACGCAAAACAAGCGCCAGGTGAAGGTCCTGGGGGCGTTACTAACGGAGTTGTTCTGGCTAGAGTGACTCCGCAACACACCCTCTGTTTAAGTTTTGTAACTATAGTAGGTAATATAATAAGGAATAAATATTAATGTAAAAGATAAAATAAACACAAACTTAAATATTAAATTACTTTATAATATCTCTCATA